AAAAATTTATTTATTTTTGATTGTGCTATGAATTTTTTAAAATGTACTACCAGTAGTACAAAAGCCTAAATCCTATCTATTAATAATAAAAAAATATTCTATAAACATTTCTAATTAACAAAAAATATTTTCAATTAGAAAACAAATTCTTCTGCAATTAGAAAAAAGCGTTCTAACTACATTTAAATAAAAATCTTTTTTCTTAAAAAAAAGAAAAATCAAAAAAAAACTTTCTTTAAAAACAACCTTTTTTTTAAAAAAAAACTTTTTAAAAAAACTAACTTTTTTTAAAAAAAAATAAAACTACACTTTTTTTTTAAAAACAAAACTATACTTTAAAAAAAAAAATTTTTTTTTTTAAAAAAAAAAAACCACACTTTTTTTTAAAAAAAAAAAAACTATACTTTTTTTTAAAAACAAAACAATACTTAAAAAAAAAAAATTTTTTTTTTTAAAAAAAAAAAACTACACTTTTTTTTAAAAAAAAAAAAACTATACTTTTTTTTAAAAAAAAAATGTTTTAACAAGAAACCATTTAAAAAACATTTTAAAATTTCAATTAAAAAAAAAAAAACATCCTAAACAAAGAATACATTAAGTAGAGAAACGCATACAAAAGTGTCTACAATCATTAAAAACCTGAAAATAAATACAAAAGTTGAGTAATAAAGAATATGTTAGTTTATTCAATGCTTTATTATGGTCAGTCTATAAAATAAATCAATTATTTTATGATATTTTTACATGATAAAATTATTGATCGTATTTCATAAACTGAGATAGTAAATCATTGAATAAAACTATTATTGCATGTTTCTGTATGCATCAATTGCTGTATTTTATGTTCTTTTTTGATCATTCGGTAATCTAGCCGTACTGACTGGGTTACCAACCAATCATCATTGCCCATAAAATACAGCAGTTATTACATACTTTGCATGCAATAACTATATAGTATAATTGTAAAAGCTAATAAATTAACAAAAAAAATTTTTAATGCTAAAAAAAAACTTATAGCAATAAAAAAAAGCCATTCTATTCAAATAATTACTCGCTCTAATAAACAAAATAAAATACCAATTCTATTTTGTCAGCATATATATTTCGAGCAATTCTAACTAACCTTTCAAACAATCCAAAGCTGTATTTATTACAGATTCCACAAAGGCCACCTAAATTGTTCTGATATTGTAGATATGTGCAATTTGCAAGCCATTCTATAAAAGATATTTTTTTCATACTATTCAGAAAGGTTTGTTGAAAAATTTTCTAAAGAGTAGTCTTGTTATCACATAGGTAAAAAACAGGTAAATTTGTTTTGAGGTCTATCTTGTAAGAGCTTATTATCATATTACTTTTATCTAAAAAAAAAAGATTCAAACTGTCTTTCTTTAAACTCAACCATCAATTTAGTTGTTTTTTTGGTACTTCTAAGGGTAGAGCACTAGCTTCATATAAACATGTATGTTGTTTGGCTTTGAATATAGTTTTCAGAGTAACCTATATTTGACAATTAATTTGTGTTCATATTAATAAGTCGCAATTACAAAAAAAAAATTCATTTTACTCCTAATTCATTTCTAAGAACTTGGTAACTAAAATCAAGTACAATAATAGAAAGCACACGAATTTTTCCTTTAGTATCTTTTTTATTAATACTTAGTATGTGGCAAAAACTATCTCAGAATTTACAACTAGTAGCATTACAAGAATTTGGTATCTGAAGTAAATCCCAATAATATAAATTTTGTAAAGTTTGTTGATCTGCCCTAGGATTTACTGCATACGTCCAATATTTGATATCTGATTCTTCATTTGAATATAGTGTAATATTTGTATATCTACAAGTTTGAAACATAATACATCAAGCTACTAATTCTTTATGTTGAAATGTATATTCTGGTAGATATATATAGTCACACTCCCATATAGTCACCTCTTACATAATCATATTTTCTATTTATTCATCTAAAAATCTAGTCCTGATTACATTTATATTAAAATCTTTTCTTTAATATTACAATTTCTATATAAGCACTATCACCAAATTTTGTAAACCAATCTAAATAAATTTTATCTATAAAATCACAATTTTTATATAGTCACAAATTTAAAAATATAGAATTATTTAAATAGAGGAATATTATATTCATAACATCAGTGTTATATAACACCCTATATGTTTTACTTAGAGTTAGGGTTTGGTTTTAAGATAAATAGAAATTTTTTATTATACAATATATATTAAACATAAGATTCTAATTGGTTCCAATTTCAGTTCTTATGAGGTTTTCAGAGATACTGATCATTTTTATTTAAAGTACCTACATCCATTTACTTAGTACGTTTTTGAGATATTGCAAAAAGTGTTATAAATACAGTATTATAAATATAACTTTCTTTAAATAGAAATAGCTTTCTATAAAATTATATTTTAAGTATTATTTTTCTTAATTTTGATTTTTTATTACAGTATATTTTAATTTACTAATTTTGCCTTTTTTTTCTAATATTACTAAGCTTTGTCACGGGTCTAATTATAATATTACGGTGGCGGAGTTTGAATACCACTATAAATAGGTTTATACTGATTTTTTTACATTTTTACTTTTTTTTTAATTTATTTGGATTAGGTCTTTAAACATATTACAATGCTAGATTTTATATACATGTATGTACATACGTACGTATGTATATATCTCTGATATGTGTATTATGCAAATATATATGCATACATATGGTGTGAAAAATTTATAAACCACAATCACTTTATATAGAATAAAGTTCAATTAACTCATGGGGAAGTAATCTAAATACGTATAGCATTCTTAATAGCAACTTATTTCAGTATGCAGATAATAGTTACTCTTAAGTGCATATTATTATTCTTTGGCTATACAAAAAATTCTAGACCATTTTTTAGATTGATAATTTAAGAATTTTATTTTTAATATGTCACTAGTTTATGTATTATCTCTATATAGAGAGATTGAGGTTTTTAAGTTTCTTGTACTATACATATATAATTTTATCACAAAACTGTTTTTTGATAGTTAATGCAGAAACTGGTTATTTCAAATATCTATCAATTATTCTAAATTGGAATTAGATTAGTATTAAATGTTAAAGGTTGAGTAACAATAACAATAAACAACTTATCTTGCATTATTGTAATCCCATAAATTATTATAAATTGCAATAAAATATAAATACTCTTTATCCTAGACAACTATGCAAGAAAAAAATTTTAATTGATAATAAATTTGGTACTAATAGTACTAAAATGTTTTAATACTGTATTTGTGTTCTTTTGGTTCATAAGTAAACTGAATGCAAAGTAAAAACTTTTTTTTAAAAAAAGGTTGTAATTTTTTTATTTTAATTTTTTTTTTTTTTTAAGAATCGATATACATACATATGTAGCAAGCTAAACATTGCTACTATCTTTTTTTTTTTTAATTTTTATATGTAGGTGCCCATGTTATACATTTTGTCATGGCATAAATAGTATAGGTTTTAGTATGATTGTGAACTTACAAATTGATCAAAATGTCAGTGAACAACAAAGCTTCAAAAACACGTGAATGTTTAGGTAACTTGCAACAAAAACAAATTTGTGAATATGCTTAACAAAATCCAAATGCAAAATACCATAAAATCGCAAATAAATTTATAAAAAGATATTCAGATCTGAAATTAGACCATTCTACTGTATCAAAGGTTTTAAAAAACTGTGAACTATACAAAGATATAAAAGAGAAAAGTGGTGCTGAAAACCAGTTTCGTCATAAGTTTGTTAAATTTCCAAAACTTGAGCTTGCTATAAGAACTTGGGTTCAACAAATTATCACTGCAAATATGCTTTTAAGTGACCATTTGTTAAGAGAAAAAGGAATCAAGTTTGCTCATGCACTTGATATAAAGAAAGAGGATTTATCATTTTCATCTGATTGGGTTACCAAATTTAAAAGAAGGAATTAAATTCATCGAATTACAATATACGGAGAATCTGAAAGCGCACTTCTTGAATCCTTACCAGGATTTCGATTACAACTGCAAGATATTATGTCTTACTACCACTCTGATGATATTTATAATGCAGATAAGATTAGACTTTTTTTTATATACTTTCTGCCCAAACACTCTCTGACAAACAACAACATAGAAGAAAACTAGCAAGTTTTTTTTTTTAATCGTTGATATTTAATATATATATATATTTGTTTGTATGATTTTAAAAACTGATTTTTTTTTTTAATAGAACAAAGTACGAATTACGGTATTACTTGTGGCAAATTTTACTGGAATACATAAGCTTCGGCCACTTGTTATTGGTCAATTTGAAAAATCACGGTGCTTTAAGAATATCAATGTTGTTTATCTTCTGGTGATTTATCATTCTAACATGAAGATATAGATACAATCAAATATATGAGAAGGCTGGTTATAATATATTGACAGTATTTTTTGCAGTCAAAAACAGAAGATTCTCCTATTTGTGAATAATGCGCGTTCACATACTTCTCTAAACTTTGCTGACTCAGATGTTTCAAGCATCAGTACTATATTAACTAATATAACTGTATACTATTTACCGTCAAATACAACCTCTTATATCTAACTAATAGATGCAGACATAATCAAAAGCTTCAAATCAAAATATAAACAGCTTTATTCCCAGCATATTTTAAAGTTATTTGAGAAGAAATATGATTTAGAAAAGAAAGTTTTTTTTTTTTTTAAAAAAAAAAAAAAAATTCTAATTTATTTTATTTACTAACTATAGAAATAAGTTGAATATCAAACAAGCTATTGATTTTATCGCATATTCATAGGATGAAGTAAGCGATATCATGATCAAAAATTGTTAGAATTCTACTGGCATACTTTCAGATGCAATTAATAGTAATGAACCAGAGTTATTCTTTATAGATATTGATGACGAATATGAGACTATTGACCTTATTGATAACAGGTTTTTTATTTTTTGTTTTTTTTTTGTAACAAAATTTTATCTTTGTTTATAACTTTTAAACTTTTTTTTCAAACAGAGATCCGGAGGCAGCTAGACTTAAGAAAGATCTTGAGTTATATTGTACAATTGTTAATGAACTTCTTGCTACAGAGGATGTAATGAATGATAATGAAATTCTTGTGATGGTTTATGAAATCTTTAATTCTAAGCAAGTGGTAACAGATCTTGAAGAAGATAATGTAC